TTCAGATCTGGACTCTTATTGCATTCTAGAAGTGTAAAGTTTCAGTTAAGGTCGTGATTGAAGTCCCTCTTGAGCTTGGAGCCCCATTAAGAGCTTAGGGTTGGCATTTGAAGCCTTTAAAGTCATGCATGCACGTAAAGTTTGCAACTTTACATGATAAGCATGCCCTAGAAGCATGGATCTGTGACTTAGAGCCGCTGCATGGCACAAATCAAGACAGTATGGAAAAGGGACTGAATGGGCTCGACGAGTCACAAGCTTGACTCGACAAGTCATATGAAGATAGCCTTGGACTCAACAAGTTGGATGAGCAACTCGGCGAGTCCGATGAAGATTGCCTTAGACTCGACGGGTTGTTCTACCACTCGGCGAGTCGGATGAGTTTTCACGAGAAAAGTAGTGTTTGAGTGAAATGACTTCATTCCTTTGTAGTTACACGTAAAGTCAGTAACTTTACATGTTCAGATGGTCCCAAGGGCTCAGATCTACGAGTTAGAGGCCCTGGAATGGATTAGAATTCAATTACAAGGAATTTGCGTTCTGACTCGGCGATTTGTTCTTCGGACTCGACGAGTCGAGTCGCGAGTCCCCTTTTTCTCTTCGAGTTGTGAGTTCATAGTGAATCAGTGAGTGAGAAAGGGGCTCGGTGAGTTACAGTCAGAGTTAGTAAATGAGGGACTCGGCAAGTCTGCGCCCTGACTCGGCGAGTCCGGTCAACTAGAAGTTGACTTTGACCAGGGGGTAATATAGTCATTTGACCCCAAGAGCATTTACCAGTAACTGATCTAGTGTTTTTGGAAATTGTAGTCGGACAGTTCCGGAGCGGCGGTCAGCCACTTTTAGAGTTAGCATCACAGCAGGCAGCACTACGAGGTGAGTTTTTAAAAGACCCAAACTTTCGTATTTTTGAAAGACCCAAACTTTCATACTTCACAATGTTATTACTCCAAAACATGCTACTTGCATATTCATAAAAGCAATATTTTACATTGATAAAGAGATTACAAACTACTGGATACAAACCGACTATTACAAAGTGTTATATATTACATAACTACCCAGGATATTGTAATTTATACAAACATAAACTGGAGTACAAAAGTACTATTACAAACTATTCTAAATCTTTCAACAGTATGTGCTCATACTAGTTACTTATCACCTGCAATTATTAAACATTGATAGGGTAAGCGGTGACGCTTAGTGAGTTCAATAATAGATACAATATAACGTTATGCAATATATATACTTCAATATGGCAGAAGCAAAGAGGAACAACAAAGACATATGTAAAATCATGTGACAAGAATTCATATCAATCAAAGACTTTATTCAAAGATATACTATTCAATGCTTGATATACATCAATAAAACTTTGTCCCAAATAGAATAGAAGACATGCAATTTCTAATTAACATCTTGTTAGATTTCAGGCTTATAGTCCTGTCTAACCATTTGCCAATGCCATAGAATAGAAGTCATTCTCTTACGGAGACATGCTCTACATGGCCAGAAGCTACGTACCAGTACCAATGTGAATCTAAGTCCTTTCACTGATCACATGGTCAAAGGTATTACATTTGCTATAAACATATCGAATAAAATAACCCGGAATAATATCACTGAAAAGCACATAGCACATATAACACATAACATACAATTGGTCCTATATATCGAACTCACCTTAAATTAACCGAAGGTTAAAATAGTAATTTGGACAGCACTTCGACTTTAAATATGACTTTCTATGTTGAAAACTGGGAGATTTATTGAAAAATAGGCCTTGCGAGGACAGAGCTTCAAACCGAAAAGATAAATTTCTCGGACTCTCCGGACACTTCGGGACGTGTTTCGAGTGTTAAAAATAATACCGGGGCTTCGGGGGAAGTGGAAATAACCAAAATATGGAATAAGAGGTGAAAAAGTGCTAAAAATCCCACCTTAGCCGGGAGGTCTCGCACCCCTTATATATGTGCGAGCCTCGGATCTAAAGCGAGGGGAAGAGGGCAGGTGGCTGCGAGGCTCGGAACAGGTGGCAGCTTGAGTGAGGCTCGGATGCGAGAAGGCTACGTGCCGGCTTCGGATTCGGCCAGCACCTCGGACACGGGGCAACAACAGCGAAGCGCGCCGGAAGTTCATTGGACCGCACCCTCGGTCGAATCAGCATACGACACGCGTCGTTTCCGGGTAAAGCGGCTACTGTTCATGCGACAATTCCCGATTCTTATCCATAATTTCTCAGTTTTTGAGCCAAAAACTTCTAAAATCCATAACTTTCGCATACGAGCTCCATTTTTGACGTTTTTTATATGCACGCGTAGCTAAAATTACGTTCTACATCTTTCGTTTAGAGTTCGTCGGCTAATTTTGATTTTAATTTTAATATTATTATTTTTAACAGACCGAGACAGGAAAATCCGTTAAAAATTCATAACTTCTTCATCCGACATCTGTTTTCATCAGACTTTTTACCGTTGTACTACAAATGACGAGACCTTCGATTCTCGTTTAGGATGTATCGGTCAAATATCGCTCAATCTAAAATTTGAGTTTTTAGTTGTCTACTGCTAAGTTGAAACTTCTAAAAATCATAACTTCCTCATACGAAGTCAGATTTTTGCGTTCTTTTTATCGAATTTCTCGGTTTAACGAATACTACGACTTTCATTTAGATCACTAAGGCTAAAAAGTAGTTTATCAAAAACTCACTTTTTATGTCATTCGACGTCGTGTCGGTTTTATCGCGGATCTTCGATTGGTCATAACTTCTTCGTTATAACTCGGATTTCGACGAGGTTTTCGCCTACAAGTTTCTAACGAGATTATTTACAAATTTAAATAATAAAATTTTACTTATTTAAAATTTTATATTTTCGCTAAATTTCACTATTTGGCTTTTAATTGGAATCTCATAAGACTTCTAATATTTTCTGAGTGATTCTAAACATAGTTTTACTTTATTTATAGTAAAAACCATCTGTTAAAACTCAACACTCAATTTCACATAGTATTTCACAATTTTATTCATTACAAAACACGATTTCAAAACGTGTATATTACAGTTTTCCTTCCAGTAGAAACGGGTTTACAGCCACAATGTCAGTCCGTCTAGTTAGCAGTAGTTCCAGACTTTGGTCTGATGCAATAGTTCAGTGTGCTTGATGTCTTTGTGATTCAAGCATGTCTTTGTGTTATGTGTTCCGGACTTCGGTCCGATGCAGTATGCAGTATATGTGTTTATGCTAGTTGATATATTTATGCTATGCTATGTTATGCTCAGTCAGTTTACGAACTTCAGTCCGATGCATGGGACAAGGTCCCAGTCAGTTCCAGATTTCGATCCGATGCAGTTAGTTCCGGACTTTGGTCCGATGCAGGGGACAAGGTCCCAGTCAGTTCCGGACTTCGATCCGATTCAGTTTCCGGACTTTCGTCCGATACAAAGGGCAAGACCCTGGTTAGTTGCGGACTTCGGTCCGATGCAGTTTTCGAACTTCGGTCTGATGCAGTGGGCAAGACCCAATATGTGTTTATATGATTGTATGCTATGTGGTAGTCTGGGGGAGCTCACTAAGCTTTGTGCTTACCGTTTTAGTTTTGGTTTCAAGTACTTCCGCAAGCAAAGGGAAGGGCTCGAGATGATGGCATTGCACACACCACAACTTCATCTTTTGTCCTGGGAGTTTATTTCATATACTATGATATGTTGTTACATTTCTTTTGTTATGACACCTTTATTATAACTTTTTGGGATTTATGACGTATGATTTAATGATATATTATAGATCGTTGATAACCTTAGTATTATTTAAATGAAAAATTTTGGGTCGTATTTTAAGTGTTATATATATATATATATATATATATATATATATATATATATATATATATATATATATATATATATATATAGGGAAAGGATCAAATGAGAACACCTAAAAGGTTGAGAACGCGAGAACACTTCTGAACCAATCATATCATAAGGCTATATTAGTAATTGTGTATTTATTTTAAATTTAAACAAATTAAATTCAAATCTTAATTTCCTAAAATTTAGCGATAATGATTATCTACCTAAAATAGAATATGAACCGATTTTTTTTATTTCTTTTATTAATGGATGATAAATATAATTTATATTATTTTTGTAAAATAAAAAATCCTTTTTTTTCTAATTTTTTATTCATCAAAATATTTTCAATCATATATGACTAAAACATTTGTAATTATAAAAATAAATATTTGTAATCCTAAATAATAAATCATAATTTAGAGATAAAATTTATAAATCAAAAAAATAAACTACAAATCATACATGAATATTCTAACAAATAAAAAAAATCAACACATTAAAAATTATATTCATCAAAAAAAATTTCAAATATTGAGTTTATACATTTATATAATTATATTCATAAAAGAATATGTCAATACTAGTTTCATACATTTATACATAACTATATTCGACAATGATTAAACCACTTCAAGTAAAACTTTTTTTGCAAAATTCATCCCTATATCAGCTATTTTCTTGAATTGGTCGCAACCTCTTCCTTCTCTTTGAATCAAATGGCTCACAAGCTTGTGTAACGAGCAGGAACAGACACGATATCTAAAAAATTCTAGCATTCCTTTTTTTTTATTAATATCTACAAAAATGACAATAGCATGTAAAGACAATAAAAAGACCAACAAAATATTAAAATGAATGATTAGTAGAAAAGCATACGTTGTTATAATCATAAATGATTATTAACAACCATGTTTATAATCATAAGTGATTATACAAAATACACATCAGCATAACAAGTGTAATCATGGATGATAACAAGTGTAATCATGGATGCTTCAGTCCATCCTAACCCAACCCGACAAAAAGGAAAATGTAATTGGCATTCAATTGCTTAACTAAAACAAGCACTACAAGAAAAATATACAACTACCACGATTCAAATCATTGATTTGCGAGGGGAAGGTTAAAAGCGTATTAAAGCTCCATGTCACCACAACCAAGCTTCAGGATCACCTTGCACAACCCAAAATTGTAATTTAACACTAATCCAAATCAGATGATTTCCAGGAAGTTTTAATTCTTCCATTGTGTGAACTATTATAAAACATTCACAAGTCAAAATAAATATAACCATATCTTCAACTTAATCGATTAAGAACCAAGATACATAATGGAATCAATTAGAAATTTTGGGAACGAGATTACCTGCATTCACTAAAAACTTCACAGACGGACCATTTGGGCACTCGATCTTGTTGATGTTCGTAATTAGCCCTAGGTAGGGTTCTTCTAAAGGCACCACTATCAGAAGGATTCTGAAATTCATCTGTTTGGGTGGATGAAGATGAGATTGTTGTGGTGTTGAAGGTGGGTAAGATGTCGCCGAAGAGAGAAAACGAAAGCGAAAACAAAAACAAGGGGGTTATGATAGGCAATCGAACGTACCACCTTGTATCATCGACGAAGACAGGGGTGATACTTTTTCATGCTCCGTTCTTTCCACCTCTTTAAACTCTCATCATGAACCAGTAACACATAATCAAAAAAGACATCCAAAATAGTAAAATTACGAAAAATCCCTAAACAAAATGTATAATTTTAGGAAGACCTTATCCTTTTCGAGGTGTTCTTTGATGCTAATTTTGGGACCCAGATGTATTTGGGTTTCTTCGTCATCTTCAGTTGCATAACAAGAGGATGAAGATGCGTCGTCATGAACTACAGATCCAGATGGTGGTGCTTCATGCTTCTCGACTTTACCATCGATATAACCCATGTTGGCTCACCGGTCATTGGTGTTGGATTGCCGGCCGAAGGGAGGAAAGAAAAGGCAACTGTAATCATAGAGGGAGGCGACTTATTATAAAACCCTAGAGAGAGAAAGAGAGAGAGAGGGGATAAAGATACGTGAATATGATAGGAAAGATGAGATAGGGTGAGGAATTGTAGGAAATAGGTAAATTTGCAATTCCTATTATGCCCTTTTGGCCATTTAAAAGTTACACTTTAATGCCAGTAGTTTTAGAATTTTTCATAAATCATCCATTTAATACTAACCTTAGATCTAAATATTTAAATGGTCCAGATCTGTTCTCGCGTTCTGAACCTTTTAGGTGTTCTCATTTGATCCTACTCCTATATATATATATATATATATATATATATATATATATATATATATATATATATATATATATATATATATATATATATATATATAGTAAAGTCTCAATATTTTCATCGATTTGACAAGAAAGTCCTAAACTTTATTTTTTTTACAGTAAAGTCCAAATTACCGGTAGTTTTTGACACTTTTACCCTTTTTTCCCGGTTAGCCGGTAATTAGGACTTTTTGTCAAAAAGCAATAAAAGTTTGGGAACTTTCTTGTGAAATCGTCAATTAGGACTTTACTATCAAAAAAATAAAGTTTAGAACTTTCTTGTCAATTCGTTGAAAATATTGGGACTTTAGTGTATATGTAACTTTTTTGGTTAGAAATTTAATGGTATGATACTCTTTAAGCATAAGAGTTATTGAAATCTTCTCTAATCAGGTAGATCTTATTGAAATATTTATCGTTTGCTTCTTGTTAAATCGTTTTTTTAATCTCAACAAACCGATATTGAAAAAAATTGAGATAATCAAGAAATAAAGAAAGAAAGAATCAGGTTTGTGTTTGTATAAATCCAGGCAATTTCGTTTTTTTCGATTTCTTATTTCTCCATTTTTGAGGCTGCAAAAAACCAACACAACCTTCGTTCTTTCTTCCTTTCTTTCTTGATTTTCTCAATTTTTTTCAATGTCAGTTTGTTGATATTAAAAAAACGATTTTACAAGAAAAAAACGTTAAGTATTTCAATAGGATTCAGCTGATTAAAGAAGATTACAATAACTCTTATGTTTAAAGAGTATCATACAATTAAATTGTTAACCAAAAAAATTATATATGCACTAAAGTCCCAATATTTTTAAGGATTTGACAAGAAAATCCTAAACTTAATTTTTTTGACAGTAAAATCCTAATTGACGATTTGATTAGAAAGTACTAAATTTTATTTATTTATTTTTTTTTACAAAAAAGTCCCCATTACCGGCTAACCGGAAAAAAAGGGTAAAAATATCAAAAACTGTCGGTAATTTGGATTTTACTGTTAAAAAAATAAAGTTTAGGACTTTCTTCTCAAATCGATGAAAATATTGGGACTTTACTACCTATAATTATGGTAATTACTTTGACCTACCTTTATCCCTTTTTAAAACAATAAACAAGACTGTATTCTATCCTATTCGATCCTCCCTAACCCTAGCTCCAAAACAGAAGATCTCGTTGAACCTCCCTAAACCTTTCTAAAACAATAAACAATATTGTATTGGTGGTGGTAATCGATCGAACTAAGTGACGATCTCCAGTTTTTGGCCGAACCAAAAGAAGGAAGGCATGAGGCAGCGAGATTTTGCTCTTTCTCCTCTGAATCAGAGGTACGAATTTAGGAGGAGCGATTTCAATCAGCGAAAAAGGAGGTCGTCTCTGTGGTTTGACAAAGTTGAAGGGACGTAGGAAAAGGGTGGGGTGTCGCGATCAGCAGAAGTGAAGAAGTTGGGGTCCTCGGTGGGTTTGCTCGACGGAAGAAGAAGAGGGGTTGTGAGGGGTGTTGATCCGATCAATAACAGGTTCTTTTCCATTTTATTTTTGTTTGACTGTTAGATAGAAATCATTGGGGTGTTTGGGTTTGTTTCATTTGATAGAAACCAATGGGTGTTTGAATTGGGTGGTTAATAGGAAAGGAATCATCATCTTCATCGCCTTCTGTTTCTTGCAATTCTATTGGAATGGAATCACGAATTCCAATTCTGTTGGAATGGAATCACAAATTCCAATTCTGTTGGAATCATAGAAGTTGATGCTTGAAGAACATACCACAAAATTGAAACGGGCCACATTATTTTTGTAGAATGTATTAGTCGTTGTTAGATTTTGACGTTTTCTTTCCCGTTTTGAAAGTTTTTTTAGTTTTATTCTTTAACAATAAATGTAATTCTTAACAATTGTTACCCGTATTTTATAAGAAATAATGTATTTTTTTTGTTTTTATTCTTCAATTGATTGTTCAAGAATTTGTTATTCTACAACAGTTTTTAAATTCATGATCAAGAAATAAGTTCAAGAATATTTTTATTATTTATGGTTCAAGAATATTTTCATTTTTGAATATACTCATAAACATATTATGTTTCAATGTCTGAATTTAAAGAACTATAATTCGTAAAATCGGATTCTTAAAATTAATAGAATCTATGATCCCTTAAAAATGCAATTTTCCTTTATCAAATCTATATTAATTGACTAAATTACCCTTCTAATTAATTAAGATGATATTTTTCAATTATATTTAATTCAATAATATATATTAATCACTTTCTTAAAATATGTAAATATTATTGGCCCACATCTATGCATACAATAACACAATAATTATTTTGAATAGAATAACCTAAGCCTATATATATATATATATATATATATATATATATATATATATATATATATATATATATATATATATATATATATATATATAAGGATTTTATTAGGTGAAATGTTTTGAACCAATATGAAAATATAAATTAGTAAATTAATAAAAAGTTAAAGTTATCTATTAGGGTAAATTATACGAATGGTCCCTATTAGGGATGAGATTTAGAATCGGAAAACCGGACCGGAACCAGAATCAGACCGGAACCGGAACTGGAACCGTTAGAACCGGAATATATAGAACCGGTTCTGATTCTGAGTTTAAAAATTGACTTCATCTGGGTTCCGGGTAATTAGGATTTGGGTCCATCGGGTCCGGGTAAACCGGGTCTAAAAACCGAAACCGGTGTTAGAAACCAGAACCACTTTTAAGGCCGGAACCGGTTTTTGTGAGACGTTTAAAAGATGCATATCTCTTTTGTTTCAACTCTGATTGACATGAGGTTTTTTTCAATGTGTAGTTTAGAGTTTGTACATGATTTTAGACTATAAATTTGCCGTTTTTAGTTTTATATTCATTGACTTATAGTCCACCAAAATCAAGATATCAAAGTTGAAAGTTTTTAGTTTTTTAATTTTTTTGTATTCTGTGAAAGTTTTAAAACATGCATATCTAATTCGTTTGAAGTCGGATTGACATGTGGTTTTTTCAAATTGTAGTTTAGAGTTTGTACATGAGTTTAGACTATAATTTTGTCATTTTTGGTTTAATATTAAATGATTTACAATCCCATGAAGTCGGGATATCAAAACTGAAGATTTTCAACTTTTGTTTCTGTACTTTGTATTTTGTGAAAATGTTAACACATGCATATTTCATTTGTTTAAAGACGGATTGACATGCGGTTATTTTCAAATTGTAGTTTAGAGTTGTACATGATTTTAGACTATAATTTTATCAATTTTGGTTTCATATTCAATGAATTGTAGTCCCCCAAAGTCGGGATATCAATATGAAAATTTTCAAAGTTCAACCCACTAAGTAGTAAGTAATTACAAAAAAAAATCTTGTTTTTCCAGGTTTTCTAGTTCTAAACCCACTTTATCCGGTTCCAACCTACCCACTTTGATGTTTCCGGGTTTTCCGGTTCTAGACCCACTTTACCCGGAACCGGTTCCTATATACCGGTTCGGTTTCGATTCTACAAAATCCCGTTAACCGGTTCTAGGTTTTCCGGGTCCAGGTCTCCGATCCGGGTCTGGATCCACTTTCACCCCTAGTCCATATAGTTTGGGGTAATTTGTATTCTTGGTCTCTAACTTATTTTTTAACTTGGAAGGTACCTACTATTTGTTTTTGTTTCTTGTTTGGTCCCTACTGTTTGTTTTTGTTGCACGTTTGGTCACTATTTTACATAAAAAGACTATAATTTAAATAGCGAAGAATAGTGGGGTATATAAGGTAAGGTGAATGGGGTGAGGTTAAGGGTGTGTTTACTTAAATAAATTGAAAAATCAAGGAAAAAATAATTTTTTTTAGGTATGACATGGACCAAACGCGTAACAAAAACAAACAGTTGAGACCTTTAGAGTTAAAAAAAACTGAATTACGGACCAAATGCGCAAATTACCTTATTATTTCAAAATACAACACCGATTGGCTATTGTTGTATACCTTTTTATCAATCGGTATGGATCAGAACATAAAAAAGGAGAAAAAAAATTTTAAAAAAAACACCGAACCCAAAGAAAGTTACAATTCACATTTTACTAATTGTAAAAGTATATAACCAAAAAGAAAAAACGAGTTTTCTTCGACGATACCATTTAAAGAAATTTGAATATAATCTCACCGCGAAAAATTAAGTTGGTATTTAATAGGGGTGGAATTGGTACGGTACCGAGTTTTTTCATCCAATACCAACTATAGTTGGTAGACGAATTTAATTACATGTATTGTACCTAGTATACTTAGTACCAACATATTTTGCTACAAAAAAATGGTTGGTACATATTGGTATTGATATATACCAAAAACATGTGATTGCCGATTGAGAACTTATAATTGCCAATTGGGAAAGAATTTAGGGAATGAGAATTTGATTTGAGAAGAGAGAGAGAGAGAGAGAGAGAGAGAGAGAGAGAAGCAACACTTTGAAATTTCGAATATGGTAGCCCTAACCTAAAATTGAACGTGCGTACTTGAAGATAGTTATCGCTTGTGTTACTAAATACTAACTATTTTTAGTGTTATGTGTCATTGTGTTTTTAATTTCCTTTAGTGTCACGTGATGTTAACACA